TATTTTTATTTGCATCAGCATTATTTTATCGAACATATTTGATTGTAGTGTTTGTAGTCAAGTATTCATTCTGATTTGTGTATCTATGCGTCTGTACTGTCTGTGATTGTAAAAAATGACACTAAGCTTTTTGTGATTTTTAATTACAGATGCAACCCCTTCTTTTAAGAAAAATAAGCAAACGTGCCTTTCGCAAATCTGTACTACGTACAGGGACTTTTCCTTTGAGGTTGTGTCTCTGACCTTGTCATGACTTGTCTTACCTCCCCTTTCATCATTTGGTCATTTTGCTCTTAGCCGAGCATACTTTCTTCTACGTACCTGTATTACTAGTATATGAATGTTAAATGACATACCAGTACTTCACTTTTCAGTGCATTCCTTTAAAAATGCCACCTGTCCCAGAGAACAAAGAAAATAAGCATCCAGACAGCCTGGGAGCAGTTGAAACTCCACAGTTTATTGTAATGCAGAGTAGCTCGGACAGCGAAGATGAGCAGGAAGGTGGGTGACCGAAAATTTCATCCAGCCCAGAACTTTAACACATCGTCTTTTTCCATGAATTATGTTTTCTCTTTGCATTTGGTAGGATAAAAACAAAACATCATGGCAAATTTATACCCCCTTTGTTTATCATCAATGATAATGTGAAACATTTAAGCTGTTTTTTTTTTTAATTTCTTTTTTTTTATCATTTACCCATTTGTGAAAGATGAGTAATATCTACAAAAAAGCGTATGTTTCTTCTTTACTGGACTTTTTTTTTCCTTTTTTAATTCACTTTTGGTATACAGATACCTCATGCCTTTTATTTCAGAGTTTGGTGGGTACCAGCTGCTTTCTCAAGATCCAGATGGCCCATTGAACAGTCCTAACTTCCAAACTGGTTCTGATGAGGACGCAGAGGAAGAAAGCCAAGATGGCGTAGGTGGCACCAGTGACGCCATAGATGCTGTTATCATGGAGCAGGTGGAGTCCGATGATTTCACACAGTTAGCAGCTCAGTCTCATCCATACCAGGTTAGAAAAGATATGATGGCAAGTCTCCTGTTATAGTTGTTATAAGGTTAAGGTTATTTCTTAAAGTAAGATGTGCAGACTTGAATTCTCTTTTTTCTTTGTTATTTTTTTAAGCATGATATGCGAACCTGAAATACATTGGACAGAAGAATGGACATTTTTGTCAACGCATGAACTTATACAGTAATCAATAGAAAGGCTGGGAACTAGTATGTAAATTAGTCACCCTTGGCTTTAACATGTCTTTTAACTACACTTTTCTGTATAAAAAAAACAAAATTTATAATTTACTGCAGAGTGACTTGGATACAGGTTGGGCAAATTTTAATGATGAAGAAAATGTTTGGAGTCAACCTCGAGAAACTCAGTTCACTATGGACAAAGGTACTTGTGAATATTTCTTATGGATATATTTTACTTCATGAGATTTCTAACAGCTGGTTTTGTAAAATTATTTCAATTCTATAGGATGAGATTGTTTACATTTGGTTTCTACTGACAATTTTTTGAAGAATTGACAAGGTAACAGTTCACATTAGTCGGACATGAGCCTAGGTTTTAGAAAAAAACTGAACATTCATCATGGGACCAAACACCTAACCAGCTGGGGATTCGGGAGCACTTTGGGGACCATCAGAATTTAATTTGAAAATATGCAATTCTGTTATTCTGCAGAAAAAGCTCACGTCTGATTCTTCTTTTTTGTGTGTTTCAGAGCATGTTGACCAGATCAAGAATGCCATGTCTACCTTTTCTCTCCCAAGCACTAGCCAGCCTGACTGGGCAAAAAAGATTCCAGAAGAAGAATGGAAGGCCAAACTGGTGGCCAAATTACAAAACAAAACTTTTGACACACAGAAAATTTCACGTAAAGATGACTCTGCCAGCTGACACACACACACAAAAAGGATCACCGATTTTTAACGTGTATTCTGGAGACTTATTCAACTAAGACATGTTGCATGTTTTCCAGATGCATTTCTCAGCTGTATACTAGTAATTCTTTGCAGATATTTATGTGATATAGACGTAGTTCTGTAATTGCAATTCTAGATCAGAAACAAGACAAAATCAGGCATACCATTCCCATGTCAATGTGTTTCAAATTTCAGTATAAAAAGGCATATTACTTTTGCTCTGGTTAACCAAATCTAAAATTTGCTATTGACCTGCATTCAATATGCAGTCTTGGAAAATTTGTTGAATAAATACTGACCATTTTTGTGGCCATTTGGTGGATGATATCACTACAACTGGTGTTACAAGAACCAACATTGCATAGGCAATCTGCAATTATACATTAAAAATTTAAAATGATTATATTTCAAGGAAAATAATATTAACAAATTTATAATCTTTTATTCTCCAACTAGAATTTCATAAATTTGGGCAAGTATTAAGATGCTTTCAATACATGATTGATGGGTCACCATTTTATGCTGAAAAAATTTTAAACTTAAAACGCATACACCATTTTCATTAATAGCTTTTATTCTCTGTACAGACAATAAATTGACATGGTCTCTATTTTTACAACAAAAATTTACAAGAGAATACTATGATTGGCTGTACACTGTTCATGCCACCTCTGATGATCAGGCCCCCACATGGGTGTGTAAATATACAACTCTTAAATAAATGTATAATGTAAGAATCTTGAAAAAGATTAAGGCAAACAGACTAAATTTTTTCCATCACTTCTAATTTTCCTACACTTGTTGGTAGAGTAATCAATTGGATACTACATCCATTTTTTT